GTTTGAAGTTTTGGACACCCTTTTTCCGGCGATTCACGCCGTTTCAGGCAAGCCTAGGGCTCAAGGTGAGTACCAAATGACTCCTCTCTTCTTCTTCTTTCATTTGATGGCCTCCTCGTCGACTGTAATGGCCGGAATCGGAAAACCCAAAATGGGTATCACCGAACCTTTCCGATCCAAAATGGGTATCACCGAACCTTTCCGATCAATTTCCGGCCAAATAGTTCGTACCCACCTTGATTTGAATACATATTAATGATCCTCTCATCGAAACAAATAAAATGATAGATTGTTTGTTAATTTTGGTGATGATTTGAATTTCCGACCACCGTGCATGGCGGTCGGCGGCGGCGGTCCGGTCACCGTGCACGGCGGTCGGCGGCGGCGGTCAGGTGACCGGCCGGCGGCGCTCCGGCGAGGCCCCGAGAGACAGAATCCTCTTCTCTTCCCGCTAATCATGGAATCGTCGCCCGATTCCCAATGGGTACGTTCTAAGACTTAATTCTCAATTTTTATATATAAAGCATTAATTGATTAATGAATTTAATTGAGTTATTAACTAGACTAAATTGAATAACAAGACATTAACTTATTGGATTAACTTAAAAATATATGAACATTTATGGTCTTTTGTAAATAAATTAGATTGATTAGTGTGCGTATTTGGATAGCGAACATAATTTGTTAACTGGTTTAGGACTTTAGAATAATGTAATTGTAAATTAGTTTAGAACATTGTCAAATAAATTACATGATTAATATTATGATTAGGTGATTTGAGGAGAAAGAATAAATTAGAATTAGTTAATTAGTCAATTAGATAACCATTAGATTAAAACTAGCCGATTGTGCATAAGAGAAATAAGGCGAATTTTAGTTGGTTAACGACTAGAATCGAAATTCGATAAATTAAGATTTGGGAGGCCTAGCCATTTTCGATATTGATATAAAAAAATTGAATTTTTATAGGTAGTAGTTATAATTAGTTATGGTTAAAATATGTTTTAGCTGTTTAACAAATTAGTTACCGTAAAGCTAATAATTTAATTAATTAATGACTTAATAAATGATCTCATATGGATATTATTAGAATTAGTTTGTAAAGTAGTGTTGATATTGTTGTTATGGAAAGGAGGATGGGATTTTAAATGTGATTGATGCCCGATCGGGATGGGCTGTGTTGCATTGATTTTGAGAAAAGATAATAATATTGTGATATTTTGAGCAGGTAGATAGGTCCAATTTTAGGGGGAAGTGCTTGCCGAAAATTTTTGATAGAAAATTAGACTTTTAAATTTTAATTAAACAACATAATTAAATAAGTTTATGTTAGATCAGTTCTATAAATTGGTACATAATAAATATAGTGCTGTTGATTAATTTATTATCTTTATTATTCATTTAATTATTTACATAGTTATTTATTATTTTCATTATTATTGTTAATATTGCTATTTATTTTATTATTGTTGTTTTTGTAATACATTTTATTTATTTATTTTATTTGCAATTGATGTTGGATGTTTGATTTAATGTGTTGTTGATAATGTGCTAATGCTTTGTTTGTGTGAATTGGGATGAAGTGGGTCACCAGGGGTTGTGAGACCTTACCTTATGTGGATCCTGATTATGTTACGTATATATACCGTCCGTTATATGGTAGATCCATTACAGTTAGCCGGGCGTAAATGGGAGATCGAGCGCCCCCGTGTGCACCTTACCGTTACCGGTTACCGTTAACCCACAGGTTGTTCTCGTCGTTGCGCACCGGACAGTCTAGATTTGATCGCTGCCCGCAGGGTGCCTCCTGTTGTGAGCGCTTGATGATCTAGATTGGATAGACACGGGTTTGCCGTCCTGTTGGTATGAAAAAGAAAAGAGAGGATAGAAAAAAACAATGAGAGGGCTGGTCAAGTTGAGGATTAGACCGGTCAGGGCCAGATAATGGGGGATCGGTCCCTGGTGACACGGTGAGAGGATGAAGCCATGTGGGAGGGACGGCCTCATCGGGGGGTTTCGGTGACTTCCATGGACCAATTTCCACGTGATGTGAATAGTATGAAGATTTAATTAATTGTGAGTGCTGGTTGATATGCCAATTGTGTGACTGGCTGGTGTGAACATATAACTAGCTCGGGATGACTAGATTGCATATATTTATACATTTTGTGTGAATGCGTGTGTTGTGCAATATATTATTCTTTAAACAAACTCACATCTCTTTTGTTTTAAATCTTTCAGAAGTAGCTCTTTCTAAGTCCCAGCTATAACTCTACTCTTTCACTGTAGAAAAGAGTTCTCCTAATTTTAGTTATCGATCTATTAAATAGATAAATGTCCGAAGACTTTCTGTATTCATTTGTTATGAACTCCGCAGTTAATAGGATTTGTATATTTTTTAGTCGTATATATTTCTAGATAAATTCATTCTGTGAGCATATATATTAAATATTTTGTTATTGTAAGCAGGGTAATTTGTAAATGTTTAAGATGTTTTAAATTTGTGGCCCGAGGTTTTATAGAATCCTTGCGAGTGTATTTTCAATCAGATTGGCTGAATGTTAAAAAAAAATTATATTGAGATAGTTTAAATAATTTTTAGTGTTTCAGGCTTACTACGGGCCTCGGGGGCCTTAAGCTTACTTGGGCCCTAGTGCCGGTCCGGCCCATGGATTCGGGTCGTGACACCCCCTATTCCCACTTTTATATATAGTATAGATTATATGGTTTGAAATATTTTAATACGCTTAGTCTCATAATATATATATTTTTGTGGATTTAACAATTTTAATGGATTTAGTGCTTCTCTGTATTGATATATCCTAATATGAATGGTATTATCTTTTGTTGATTTTATAATATTATTATTATTAGTTATTAAGTTGTTAATTATATGAACTGAATTATTATATGTCAAGCGTGAATTATTAAGTTGTTAATTATATGAACTGAATTATTATATGTCAAGCGTGAAGTATACCTAATATCTATAAATATGTAAAATTAAATATTTTGATTTTTAGTTATATGTGATATTAATTTATTATTTTTAAAAATTTGATTATATTTTTTTAGAATGTATATATAAAAATGTAGTGATTACTTCTTGTTAAATTTAAAAATTTACATTTTAAAAATGTTATAATATGTTAGATTTGTGTTTACAGTTAAACAATTTGGAACTATTGAGTTCCAAATCGAATTTCAATGGAATGGTATAGAATAAAATTTGAAATTTCAAAAAATATTTGAGATGAAATGAAATGCAATTTCAAATTTTAAAATATTTTGAAATGGGGTTGGAATAAGGGTAATTTCAGTCCATACCGTCTGAATTACACCCCTAACTCTACCTAATCTAAAAATCTTCAAATTGCTCTTAAATGGTTGTAAACCCTTGTGCAACCACAAATTCAATTTTCTCTCTCTTTTTCTAAGAGTGGTTCAACCACCCATAAGCAAGCCTCTCTCTCATTTTTCTTTCTTTTCTTCTCAAATCTCTCGATAAAACCTTGATTAAAGATTATTCTAAGAAGTTCCTCCACTCATCTCATGCGAATCTATTCCTAATATTTTACGGGTCATGAATCGTTAGGTGCAAGTGGGAGATGTTAAAATTTATAAATAGATTTGGGTACGTACATAATTTATAGGAGTAAAGCTTAATTTGCACCATGAATTTGGAAGTAATATTCAGTTTGCCCTTTTTTTTTTTTTTTTACAGTTTAATCTCTGAACTTGTATTCAAAGAACAAAAACACCCGATGTTTATGAAAAATATTTTTTAATATTTTTAACTAATAAAAGTTATTTAAGAAGTTTAAAATTAAGAAAGAAAAATTAATTAAAGACACAACAACAACTATAAAAAAATTATATTGTCTTAATTTTTAATTTAAAAAATAACCAAACAAAATATTTGATTTAAAAATTATAGAATTAGAAAATATTTGATTATATGAACATTTGGTTTAAAAAATTTTATTTTTTTATTATTTAATTATTTCTTAATTGTTTGATCTAAATGAAATATTTCGTCATCTTTTAATTGTATTTTGATTTAAATGAAAATTCTTTTGAGTAATAAATTAAGCTTTTTATTTTTATTTTTTGTAAGTTTAAGGGGGTAAATTGCATAAAAAGTTGATTTTTGGCAAACCGAATATTGCTCCCAAATTCAGGGAAAATTGAGCTATATTCCAAATCTAAATTGCTTAGACAAGAGCTCTTAAACTGTGATCAAATGAGTCTTCTGCTCATCGTGATTACTCTTACAACCCCTATTTTCACACGATAAAAAGTAAGTATTCAACCTCCATCATTATTTTCATTTGTGTATTTGATCTTTATAATATCATTTGTCCTCCAACCCCTATTTTCTTTCTGATCTCCTGTTATTTCTTTCTTAACATCTAGATCAAACACTCCTCAAATCTTAATAATAATTTATTTTCGTTAAAAATGTCTCTAAGTTTGACAAAAATTAAAAAGAATATTTCAAATTAAAAAATTTAAGAAGCTTCTAAATAGATTTTGACTTTCAAAAAATGAAATAAAACATCATCATCTCATCAGCAGCATCTCACCATGAAAAAGATTTGGATAAAATGTCAACAATCACTATGATCCACATAGATAATTCTTGCAAGTTCAACCATATACATTTTTCATTTTGAGATGGCATTATTTTAGTGTAAAAAAAGTCAATTTTCTAGAAGTGTGATTTTTTGACATAGCTTCGATGGTAACATCTTGTCTTGGTTTATATATATATAGTGGCTGCCTAACTCTTTGCAGTGTCCACTCCATAAAAATTAGCAACTTTGTCTCCTACACAAAACATAACATAAAATTGCAGGATATGGAAACAAAAATGGTGAATCTTGGGAGCTCTCTTACATAAAATGGGCAAGGACTTATTTTTTTGACATAGCTTCGATGGTAACATCTTGTCTTGGTTTATATATATATAGTGGCTGCCTAACTCTTTGCAGTGTCCACTCCATAAAAATTAGCAACTTTGTCTCCTACACAAAACATAACATAAAATTGCAGGATATGGAAACAAAAATGGTGAATCTTGGGAGCTCTCTTATTGTTCCTTCTGTTCAGGAATTAGCTAAAGTGCAAACAGATGTTATTCCTCCAAGATACATACGCCAGGAATCTGATAGTGGTGTTTCAGTTATGGAGATTCCAGTTGTTGATATGCAGAAGCTACTCTCTCAGGAATCTGAATTGGACAAACTTCACTATGCTTGCAGACACTGGGGTTTCTTCCAGGTATATATATATGTAAATAGACACCAATTATCCATCTTTGCAATGGCTAACCAATCACTGTGCTATCTTCAGTTATATGCTGATCTATATATAGGGTATGTTTATCAAAATTAATTATGTTGGTAGCTGTTGGTTGTTTTAGTAGGGTTTAGCTGTTTAAATAACTTTTCATAAAATAGTAAAATCTAAAGTTTTGTTCGGTAACAACTTTTTAAGTTGTTTCTAGCATTTTGAACAGTCAAAACACTAAATGCTATATTATTTACAATGTTTGGTAATATAGTGTTTGAACTAGTTTTTATAGGTTAAGTTAGTGTTATATAAAAAGTTAATCCATGTAACATTTAACTTTTAACATTTTATGAAAAAGCTACTCAAACAGCTAACAGCTAAGAGTTATCAAAACAACTAATTTTACTAAACTGACCCTAAATATTAGAGGAGTTAACTTTTTATAAAATGCCTACTTTAAACTTTAAAAGTTACTTCAAATGTTATGTTACTGAATACTGTAAAAAATATCATTTAATGTTTTGACTAAAAGCTACGTAAAAAAACTGTTTCTGAACACAACCATAATCTTGTTAATATCAGGCATTGAGATTGAAAATACTTATTAAGAGAAAAAAAACGTATGTTTTAGATAACATTAAAAAAATGTTTTGGATAATGTTGAAAAAAGAAATTTAGGATTAATATTTAACTCCTTTGAGATCTTTATAATTATAATATATGAAAGTCCTTCTATCATGAAGATAAAAATTTAATATGAATTATATATATTATATATATATATTATACTTATATATATTATATTATATAGATATATATAATATATATATATATATATAGAATGAGGTTTTCAAAATATAGAATGAGGTTTTTCAAAGTGAGTCCTTACCAATTCACAAAAGAAAGAGTAAGCTTTTTTATTTTTTATTTAATTGCAAATGTATAATAGATATTTGTTTTACTTATGTGAAAGGAGACGACCAAAATAAATAGAGGGTACAACCACTTATGGGCCCATAAAAAAAATTTATATTATCTATTTTTAGCTTTCTAGAAGAACAAAAGATTTGATTGATCTCATAACAAAGACAAAAACCAATACCAACAGATATTTCAAAGCCTACCACCAGTAGATTTCATGCTAGCTGTAATAGCAACCAAAAGTTATAAAATAATGCTGTAGGAGAATATATAATTTAACCCTTAGAAAAAAAAATTTTATGGCGCTCTGAATTTTAGAGTCGATCTTATGACACTTTGAATTTTATTATTTTTTAAATAATTTCACACCTCCTATACTAAAAATATAAATCTTTTTAAGGTTTTTTTGCTTTATAGGCAAAATGTTAATTGATATGTGATTAATATAACTTTTGGAATAATATCTTTATATTTTTTAATTATTCAATAAGTGTTTAATCAATCTAATTTATAAATTTAGGTGTTTAATAAGTCAAATAAAATATTTAATAAATCTAATTTTACGATTTGAAATGTTCAATCGGTCAAAGTAAAAATTAAGGATGTCACAAGATTTTTTATAAAAAGACTTACTTAAATTTATATATCTTTCGCCAAATGTTCGGCTGCCACGTAAAAAGAAACAAATTCTCTTCCACTCATTGATTGGGATAGGATGAAGGAATCGCCATCATCCCTTTAAAATTCTAAAATTCTAAATATTTATTTTTCATTTGTTTCAAATTATTTTCTTATTTTCAGAGAAAAAGTTAATTTTTATGTTTTTTATTTAGTCCCTATTATTTTGCATTTTTATCAATAGAACCATGTATTATAATAGAATCTGTAACTTTTATTTTTCTTGCTTCTTGATTTAATGCATTCTTTTATGTTTTTTATTTAGTCCCTATTATTTTGCATTTTTATCAATAGAACCATGTATTATAATAGAATCTGTAACTTTTATTTTTCTTGCTTCTTGATTTAAAGATTAAATTTTGATTAGTTTGAAAATTAATTTAATACAAGCCAATGAATTAAAATAGAATAGCATGAATTATTTAATAATTAATATAAGTGTATATTAAAAACAAACCTGAGAAAAAAGTATGTTGTAGTTATAATAACTATATATTTTTTAATATGTGTGAATGCCAAACTAAACCAAGAGTTATGGGATGGAAGATATTTTTTAATATCTTCTAATTTTATTCTTATCTTTTTGGTATCTCCACTAAATAAGTATTAATTGTTTAGATAATTAACAAGTTATTTAGGATCTATTTGGCGATATTAATTGTTTTAATATTTAGGATCTGTTGGATAATATTAGTTGTTAATCATTATAGTAATTTTTGCAGTTAGTTTTTAACTGATAGTGTAGCTATTTATATAGCGGTTTAAATTACATAACTTAAAATGATGGTAAGAACATTAGTAAACGTTATCTAATGACAAGAAGGACATTAGATAACTTAAAACGTTAATAGCTGTTTTTATATAGCTATTTATACAATTTTTACTAAAGTCTAAATGTTGAAGGTTATTCGTGGAAAATATATTATTAAACGATAATATATAAATTGTATACAAATTGAGCTATAACTTTTTATAATTTTTTTGTAATAAATATAATTCTATATCTGAATTCTATTTATGCTTAAGGAATTAAATAACGTGAAATTAAAGAATTAAATAAACATATATTTTGATTTTATTATTAAGGTAAAAAAAGAGTGAAAATTAAATTTTTTTTCATATATAAAACATGTTCTTCCCTCACAAAATATCCTATCATGTTTGTGGCTTTGACTATTCATAGATGCATCTCTCTTTTTTTCCACTAGATATGAATGGTCAAATTTGACTCGTGGAAGCTGATTCAACAATATATAGATCTTTTTGTTAAAAGGGTAATATATTGTAGTGCATTTAGTAATTTTTGTTATGGCTATATTATTTTTATTATTCAATTAAAAATCATAAATACAGTTTTTAATTTAATTCTTTATTTTTTTGAAATAAAACTAAGTTCATGTATGAGAGAGAGACAAGAAATAATTTAATTCTTTAATATTAAATAAGAAAAATTACCGAATTTAGGTATAGAGCCTATATGGAGCACTCTTGAAATTTGGTAGGTAGCATTTATTCCCTCCGTGAACCCATTCAGTGTGAATTCAAATTAGTAAAGTCCTAAGTCTTTTATATCGTTATGATTTTTTTTTTTTTTTTTAAAAGTGTTTTTAAGCAAGCATTTGTGATAAAATGATTTTTACAAATAATATTTATAATTTCGAGAAATTATAATAAAATTAATTTATGTAATGATAAATAATAAATTTGATTTAAAGTAGCAAGCTATAGTGAAATAATTAATCTAACATGGCAAACATTTTTTGCAGCTGGTAAACCATGAGGTGGAACATTCACTTCTAGAGAAGATAAAGAAGGAGGTTAAGGACTTGTTCAACCTCTCAATGGAAGAAAAGAAAAAGTTTTGGCAATATCCAGGAGAAGTAGAGGGTTTTGGGCAAGCCTTTGTTGTATCTGAGGACCAAAAGCTTGACTGGGGTGATCTTTTCTTCATGGTCACCCAACCAATTCATGCAAGAAAACCCCATTTATTTCCAAACTTCCCTCTTCCTTTGAGGTCATCTTTATCTTCTATATTCTGTCATTCTTTATTTTTCTTGTTTTAGCTAACTGGGGCAAGCATTTGGTTCAATCTAATCAAACCAATATAAAATCGAATAAACTAAATTTTTTTTATAAGAAAAATTGAACCGAAACAAATTGTCTATATAAAGAGTCAGTTTAGTATGGTTCAATTTTTCGGGTTTTGACCTATTTTTCAGGTTAAATTAATTTGGTTTTTAGATCTTTCAAAAATTGAACCAAATAGAAAAACTTTTAGCTTTTTCCTATCAAAACTAAATTACTTGTTTCCATTTAGTTAGATAATCTAGTAGCTAATCAATTGAAACTTATCTTGTTGTAGAGACACCTTGGATACTTATTCAACAGAAGTAAAAAATTTAGCCATGGTTATTCTAGCACATATGGCTAAAGCACTACACATGGAGGCGGACGAAATGAAAGAGATTTTTGAAGATGGACATCAATCAATGAGGATGAACTATTACCCTCCATGTCCTCAACCGGACAAAGTCATTGGTCTTACACCACATTCAGATGCCACTGGTCTCACAATCCTCCTTCAAGTTAATGAAGTAGAAGGTCTCCAAATTAAGAAGGACAATAAGTGGCTTTCTGTTAAGCCCTTCCCTAATGCCTTTATCATCAATATTGGGGACATTTTAGAGGTATTTTACTATCCTTGGTAGTATTTTCTAGGACTCATAATTTATTTACGCCTTCTTTAATTATCTTGCGTATGAATGACATGCAGATTGTGACCAATGGGACTTACAGTAGCATTGAGCACAGAGCAACAGTGAATTCAGAAAAGGAAAGACTCTCAATTGCGACATTTTATGCTCCAAGATATAGTGTTGAAATAGGGCCAGCATCCAGTTTGATCACTAAACAAACTCCACAATTGTTTAAGAGAATAGGAGTTGAAGAATATTTTCAAGGCCTATTTGCTCGTGAACTCCATAGCAAATCTTATCTTGAAACCCTGAGAATAGTAGAATAGTTGCTCAAAATTCAATTATGCTTACTAGACAAAATAATCGTCAAATATTATATCATATTTATATATGCAAAAAGTTGGAATATAATTTTTGAAATGCTTTGATAACATTCAACTAGAAGCTAGTAGTTAATTATATATGTTAGTGTATATAGCGCTGTAGCCAATTACGCGGTTACACATGGACATTAACATTTCATGTATTATAGATTTTAGTAATTAACAAATGCATTATTTATCTTAATATTCAATTAATGAAACTGACTAAAGATAAAGTCCATGAGATTATATTACTTTTCAAAAGAAATTATAATTATAAGTATATATGAAATACCTATAATTATTATATTCTTTCCTTTATAAAAGAAAGTAGTTGTTTTTATAGGTTAAAGTATATATGAAATACCTATAACTAATATATAAGTATTTATTAATAATGATAAGTTCATTGAATTGACTACATAAAGAATCCATAAAGAGTGTATGGAAGACTCAAATGATTGTTACATAAGTGATATTTCGACTTGATATCACTAATCTATCTTATATAAGGATTACTATATTTTAACTTTTGCTACATGTGTTTCTATTCATAAGTAATAAATAAGAACAAAATGGATAAAAAAAATTACATATCACCTTAGATAAATTAGTAGAAATATTCCACATAGTAGTGATTAATTATGAAATCTTTGCGGAAGGTGCTTGTTGACCATGATTTCAGCACCAGGGCATGGGAACAGGCCTAATTCTGGGTTCCAAGGTATAACAGGCTGAACTTTACGGCACAATGGGCCTATCCATATCACCAAGATGTAGGAAATTTTTTCCATGGTTCTAACACGTTAAGAATAAGTTCTAGAATTCAAAAAATTCAATATGGATAATATAAAACAAAATAATAGATAGATAAGAAAAAAAATTTAAATAATTCAATGTGGATAATCATATGTTAAATTAAAAATATTAAAGGCATAAATATAGAATACAGAATCCCGAAACATAAAGTTACTGATAAATGCAAATAACACATAAATAAAATTAAATGTTCACTAAATTAAGGAGGACAAAAAATCAACTAAACTAAATCTAAACTTACTATTAATTTTTGTTTCATTGTTCATATGTCTGTCCCTTGGTGCGTAAACTTGCCACGGTTTCAAGCATTTTTCCTTAAATTGCAATTTGAATAATTGAGATTTCTTATTGAGACTATCATAATAAAAGCTGCAGATGGAGATTAATCACCATTTTGTATTCCAATAACTCAATCCTAATAAAAATTTTGTAGAAACTGATCAATAAACAAAGCATTATGTAGTAATTGTGATTGATTAGGAGAAGAAGAAATAAAAAAAATTAAAAATAATGAAAATTTGATTTAAGAGGATGAATATCTTTATAGTCCAAATAAAATTTAAAAATGAACAATAAAAATACGAAAAAATATATATAAAAGAGCAATATAAAAATAATACCTGATCAGATCTAAGCGTCGTGTTTTTTCCAACCTTTTTCAGTTAACAATGATATCAATGAAAAATCAAATAAAAAAATAAATGAACCAATAAAAAGAATTATGTACTAAAAAAAAATCTTTGTAGTCCAAATAAAATTTTTTTAAAAAAAGGATAAATATATGAAAGAGCTAATGTTACCTTTGACGAAGAAAAAATTGTTTTTAAATGAGAATAAAAATAGCAAAATTTAATATGAATATAAATAAATATAAATATAAAGAAACTACACAATAAAAAACAATCGTTGAATCAAACTGAATAGTTTGAGGTTTGAAAGACAGAGAACAGTAGAGTTATATATACAAATTTCTAAAAAATGGAAAATATTTTTAGATTTTTAAATAAGATTTTTAGAAGATATGGATTGGATTAGTTAAAGTGATTATGATAGAGATTTAGAATTTGATTTTTTTAAAATAAATTATTAGTGATAATAATGTAAATTATATTATTTTTAATTGGCAAATAATTATTTTTTTTGTTAAAAATGAATTAAAAGACTAGAAAATTAAAAAAAAAAAAAGGAGAGAAATTCTAAAACCGAAAGATGCCAAGTAGCATTTAAAAAAAAAATTATGCTTCAGAATTTTATATATATAGATTTTCCACGTAGACAGTTACAGCCAAAACTAATATTAGAATTATGAATGAAGGCCTAATTTTAATAATTTTCCACGTAGACAGTTACAACCAAATCTATATTTTAATAATTAAATCATAACAACTATAGTAATGAAGGCCTAATAATTATATTTCTAACTATAAAACTTCATTTTATTCTCTTTGTAGATGACAACTAAGCCTTATTTATTCTCATTTTAATACAGTCAATTCTTATATTTTTTTATATTATACTTTATTTATTTTTGTAACTATTAAATATTGTTATTAAGCATAGTTTACTTCTTTTAATTGTACTTCTAATTCCTTAGATTACATTATGGAGGCACAACTTTTTAGCATTTGAGCATACACTTTAACTAATGGCCAAATAACTAAATAGAAGTAGTTTCAGTTTTACTTAATAAAAAATTAAAATGGATCATCCACATATTTAACTAAATCACTAACCTAAAACCAATTTAGGTTGGTATTCCATTGCAAAAAAAAAAAAAAAAAAAAAAAAAAAAAAAAAAAAAAATAAAAAATTAAAAAATGGATCATCCACATATTTAACTAAATCCCACTAACCTAAACCAATTTAGGTTTGGTATTCCATTGGCACAAAAAAAAAAAAAAAAAAAAAAAAAAAAAAAAAAAAAAAAAAAGTACCAAAATTAAATGGATCAAGTTGGCGACCTAATTTCCAACTTGAGTTAAGCCTACGAATCTATCCTCATTAAATATTAGTATTTTTGGTACGGTAGGTAGAGTGACACCAATTGGACACACATGAAATTATAACAAATTGTAAAAAAAGACATTGACCGATCAATATTATATATTTTTTATAGCATTATTTCAATGCACATAACAAACGCATACAACAACTTCTTCTGCTGACCCAAATTTAAAGACACCGTTATATAAATTCACCCTTCAATTTTATAACTTTAATTTTATGGCACCTTAAACTCTATGGATGATCTATTATGCATTTGAATTGTAAATGTTGGGTAATATTACACACATTTCAATACTAATATCAATAATGTTTGGGCTTTTTGATTTTATCTATAAAATATCAACTTGATATATAATTAGCATGACTTTTAAAATAATAATTTTTATAAATTTCAACTTTTAATGAGTGTATAATTAATCTAATTTTACAAGTTGAGATGCTAAATAAAATAAATTTGAAAATTGAAGTGTTTAATAGGGGACCTAACGACTAAAAAAAAACCTGAACTTTGGCCCTTTTAACAATTTTGGCTAATTCTTGTAATTGCTACAATTGATACCGCGAAGTAATTTTTTCTTAACAATTGTGGCCTCCATCCATTAATCGTTACTATTATACTGATGTGGCCGTCAGTGGAACCCTCGATATGATATTCACTTACTGACTGTAAATTTACAAGGTATAATTGTTAAAAGAATTTGCTAAAATTATTAAAAAGGCCAAAGTTCATGATTTTTTTAGTCAATTTCAAGAAAAAAAACGTGATATTTTTTTAGTCATTTGAAATTTTCAACACTCATGTTATAATAATTAAATATTAAAGAAGATATAAAAATTTAATAAAATAATCAACATAGTAAGAGAGGGAAAACCAAATATTGTATAAATAATCACTCGTAAATCCGTTTAATTCTAAAAATGATAGTATTATTTGTAGGAACATCTTCAATAACATTATCACCTTAATTAAATTCCTTTTCTTTAGAAGGATAACATCAAATACCTTTACACTAATCTTTCTTGAGAAATTTATATATGAATGTAAATTTTTATCAATTTTCATTATTGAAATTTATTATATTTTAATCGTAAAGTTTAGCACCTTCGAATTTTCAAGTTATAATCTCCTTTTTCAAATTTTTTCCTTTCTTTATTTTGTGTCATATAATTATTATTTTCAATTAATTCTTATTAAAATGAAATAACTTTTTAGCATAATCATTGGTTGTTATTAATTATTATAATATATCATTTAAAGTAAAAAATATTATAATTAAAATTTATGAAATATTTAACTATATTTATTAAATTAAATTTGAATATCATAAGTTACAAGATTATTTATTGATAAATAAATTATATAAATTCATAATTACAAGATTATTTATTGATAAAATAAACTATATTTATTAAATTAAATTTGAATATCATAAGTTACAAGATTATTTATTGATAAATAAATTATATAAATATTAGAAATTAATTTTGATAAAAAAAAAATCTGAATATATTGTCAAGTTGTATATGCACTTACTACTAAGCTATACTTTGATGTGCATGTGATAATCTTGACTAAAATTAGTAAACTAATAAACTTTGGCCTAATGAATAAAGAAAACCCTGAACTTTGGCATTTTTAAGAATTTTAGCCAATTATTTTAACAATTATACTTTGCAAATTTACAGTCAGAGAGTCTTATATCATAGCGAGAGTCCCACTAACGGCCACATCAACATAGTAGTAACGGTTGATGGATGAAAGCCACAATTTTTAAGAAAATATTAATTCGCGGTATCAATTGTAGCAATTAAAAGAATTAGTCAAGATTGTTAAAAAGGCCAAAATTCAGTTTTTTTTTTATCATTAGGCCTTTAACATGTGTAATTTTATAAATTAAAGTGTTTGATAAATCAAAATAAAAATTGAAACTGCCATAAAATTAAAATAACAAACTTTAAAGGTGAATTTATGTATTCAACAATTTAAAGCAAAACATAATACCCTTCGATTGTCAACCAAGTTATTGTTCTTTTACTTGTCACTTTCAATTACTCCATGGATGGCATGTATGTAGGCGTAGATTGACTTTTACATGTATTAAAACAATTTTTTTGATATAATTAAGTTATTTTTTTCAGATTTTTTTAAAATACTTCTCTATTAATGATGGTAATGTATATAAATTACACTAAACGGTAGTTTATTAAAAATTAAATAATAAATGGTATTTTAAAAAAGAAAATAAAACTATATTTTACGACAAATGAAAAAAGAAAAGTAAATCTATATATATGGCATGAAGGAAGTATTAATTATTCAATAATTATGGCATGAACAATAATTGCTTTTTTTTCTTTTTCTTTAATATATTACCTTAATAAGAAAAATACACGTTTGTCCCATAATAATAGGCCTACGCGTATTTTTACACATTAAGAAATTGTAGTTTTTATGGTTGTATATTTTCTCTATGACACCTTTATTTAATAGTATTAGATGACTTTTTTATTATAATTAGAAACCCTAAAAATATTAAATTGTGATTTTGAAATTCAAGACAAATATTATTGCTAGTTTACTAATAACTCTATTCCAAAATATAAGCTGTTTAAGATTTTTGCACAAGAATTAAGAAAACAATTAATTTTCTTGAATTATAACAAACTCAAGGATAATTTGACCTAATTATCTTTTCTCTCAAAATCAGTAATTACTTGTAAAAGCATTATTGTATCTAATGTAAACAAGGTTAATATTGAAAAAATATCGTTTATTACTTCTTAAAATACACAAAACAACTTATATTTTGGGACAAAATAATCATCCAAAAATGACATGTATTTTGGGACAGAGAGAGTACTACCTCCGTCCCTAAATATTTATCACATTTGAAAAAGTATTATGTTGAAAAAGTATTATGTTCCAAAATGGTTTCAACGAGTAATAATTTTTTCCGATATTTACCATTTGTATATGACCAACAATTAATGTTTCAATTCCTCAAAATAAGCATTTGGATATATTAAATTAAAGGGGATATAATCAATTTACTCAATAATTTATTGTAACTTAGACAAATTTAATATTTTTTTAAGGGCGTGAAATTCCAAATGTGACAAGTATTTAGAAACAAAGGTAGTAGCATTCTAAAATACTCCCTTTGTCCCAAAATATAAGTCATTTTGAGTATTTTAAGGAGTGATAAATAATATTTTTTCAATGTTATCCTTATTTACATTAGATATAATAAATACTTTCGTAAGTAACTATAAATAATAATTTGGTCAAATTACCCTTAGTTTTGTTATAATATTATTTATCACGTTGAATATTGCTTGCTTGATGACAATGCCAATTAAATAAGGGTATAATAGAAAACTAACAAATATATTAAAGTCTTCCAAAGGAAATCAATATATATATATATATATATTCCAAAAGGAAATTCAATATATATATATATATATATATATATAATATAAGACATCTTTTCCCTGTAAAGTGCCAAGTGAAATTACTGCATATTTCCATGTGGAATGAGAAAAGTTGTAGTGCTATATAGGACTAGAAAAGTGAAATTATGACACATAGGATTCCAAAATGCTTTAATTTGTAAATAAATGTAAAGCATAAATGTTAAGACATAATAATCAATAATATAGTAAGAAATAATAATCATTTAACTTAATAAAATTAAATAAATAATTAGCAAAAAATAGTAATTTCAAAATCATTAATTTTTATTTGACTATATAAATACATAAAATTAAATAGAATATTTTATTTTGTAACATATTATTAATTATTATTATTATATATTTTTCAAAAATGATTTATTATCAAATACAAATTATAACATTTTTAAACGTCATTATTAAATTAAATTTAACAACATTGCGTAATCTAGAGTTTTTAATTACAAATCAATTTAAATAAAAAATTGAGATATAAAAATTTAAAAAATAATTTTAATAAAAGTGAATGTTCAAATTAAGATTAAATATTAAAAATTAATATTTATTAAATTATCTATGCATAGCATAAATATATAACCATAAAACCACATAGGATTCCATCTTTTAATTTATCATCATTTGAAATTATCAATAATAAAAATTTGATTAAACAAAGGAATAAATGTTTTGATTTCAATTCAAGTCGTTTAAAATTAATTTATATAAACATTTTGCACAATGAATCGCTTGGTAAATGTGATGAACGATATAATATATATAACATTATTTTAAATATAGTTTTTAAATAACTATAGCTAGAATATGTTTTTCACAATGAGAGTTTTATAATACATTTTACTTTATTTAAAATTTTTAAATTGCAATTCACTAAATAGTTTCAAAGTTGAAAATTTTGTGATATAGTTTAGATTAGTTGAATTTAGTTGAATTTAATTTGCATTTTTCGAAAAATTAGTTGAATGGAGTTAATACAATTCAAAATTAAAATACACAAATAAATTACAATAATAAATTAATTAATAATATTATAATTGAGAAAATTTAAAATTAATAAAAAATTATATATTAAAACCATGCATAGCATGGATATTTACATTAGTTATTTGTATTTTGGAACGAATGAAAAATAAACGTAAGAACTATTATTATGGGATGGAAGGTGTCACGACCCGTAACCATGGCCCCAACCGGCACTAAGGCCCAGGTAAGTTTAAGGGCCCGAGACTCGTAGTAGGCCTAATTAAAAACAAATTCAATTATATCAATGTAAATTCTAAGTATTAAGCCCATATTGCCATGCGAAAATAAACCTCATATTCATATTATAATTCAGCCCCACGTTGTAACATCTTAAACATTTACAAATTAGCCCGGCTTACAATACATCATATTTATAATATGGTCTCACAGAATTATTATAATAATTGATCCATTTATTAAACCAAGCTTAAAGAGAGAAAAGTTGCTTAACACATTGCCCACTTAAGCACTTGATTACAACAATCATATACTCATATGTTAATACCATAAGCTATAATTCAAAGAGTCAATTAAAATGGGTGCTGCTTCAAAGAGTCAATTAAAATGGGTGCTGCCAACCCAAGGGAATCAAGGTTTCCTAAACAAAACCCTTACACTATATGCCAATTACCTCACTTCCCAATATAAACTAGATTATTAATGAGAAAACTAGAATATCCTATTATTAACAAATTCATATAAATAACTTATTTTGAATGTTATCAAAATGTAATTACTTTGCTAACTAGCTAATCAATTCTTGCTAAGATTGTATAGTTCTTGTTTTATCGACTTTCAGCTATTTTTCAGCCTGAAGTCTAATTTCCAAATTTCCGTCAATCCACAGTTCGAGTATCAATTGATATCAGATAGTAAAACTAATTATATATTCATACTCTACACGAAAAATACAATGTTCTGCCTCTGGGAAACTCCGGTCACCGGAGCCACCGCTTTCGCCGCCGTCTACGGTGGCGGGAGGGGTGGTGGTTCTAGAATTCATCAATCAACGCCAAATCCTATTGCAAATCCCAACTAGAACGCGATTTTATGGTCATTTTCTACCAATTATGTCATTATCTATCAAAATCCCAACTTATAAACCAATTAAAACATAAGTTCAAATTTTCCTAAAATTTCCGATTATTTGCAAATTAAGCAAACAAATGACTTGTAAAGGCATTAGAAAGGGATAGTCAGCCGACCTCGTTGGTGTCAGTCATCGGAATTGTTCGAGGTGGCCGGAGTTGATCATCGCAACCTCTCTGTCTCCCTCTCTCTTTCTGTCGGGCGAGAAGTAGGCCAAGAGCAAGGAATGGGTCGGATGGTTGTAACCGTAGGGACTAGAAGCGAGGTTCAGGTGGCACGAATGGCGTTCCTTGCCGTTGATCGGTCTGAAAATGCGGGAGGAGGGGCTGAGGGTGCTGCGATCGCAGCTTCCTGCGACAGCCGCGCTAGCTACGCTAGCCTCGACCTGGCCCGCAGCTTCCTGCGACATAGCGCGCTAGCTACGCTAGCCTGAGTCACAGAGGTGAGGGGAAGGAAGAGCGGCACGGGAACGGCAGCGGGCAGCGAATGGGAATGGCACTGGCCTTCCAGGTGACAGAAAAGGCACAAAGGGAAAAAAGGGGAGGGGGGAGGTCGCGCTGAAGGGATATGGGGAGGTTTTCTAGAATTGTTAGGTTTTTGATTTTTTTTTTTTTGGTTTGGTTTGATTCGGGGTTGGGTTCAGTCCAAATCATGGTTTTTCTGTGATTTTCATTTCTTTCATGGGTTTTACATGGTTTGTCGATTTTTCATTTGGTTCTCTACTAGTTTTCATTTAGTTGCAGGTTTGGTCAACTACAAAAATATATTTGCATTTAATTTTGCTAAATAAATTTATAGGATATTAAATTTATTTAATTTTAAATAATATAATATCCTACAATGTTATTGGTTTAGAATTACTAATTAAAATTTTACATGAAAAATTTTTGAAAATAAAATTCCGGTTGTTTCAAGTATATACACAATACATGAAAGGAAATTCGAGTCATAAATAAAATTTTCATTTGCTTCGAAATGAAATTTTTTTTTTTTTTTTTTTTTTTTTTTTTTTTGACAGAGAACATAACAATTTCTCAATACGATGTTTGAAAGTTGGTGAATAAAAAAGAAACAGTACAAAATGGATACATAGGCTTGTTTTATGCGTCAACACAGATGCAAACGGTCAATATCAAACACACAGTGGGCGGGCCGGACCTCGGAAATTTATCTGATCAGGCTGATCCGGACGGCAGGAGCAGTGTGATTCCATGCACGCGAAGCCGGAAGCACTGCAACAATCTCCGAATTGCTGGGGTCCGGCAGGACAGAGGCCCTTGGTTGAGTTCCCAAACAAGAAGTTCTCTGTAGTACTTCTTAACCACTACCTTCCTTAGACGGCGGCACTTCGGCTGGTGGCAACTACCAGATCCATTCATAGGGTGTTATCGTACCCGATCACCACCTCCAAGCCTTCACCCAATCAAATCAACCTCTTGTGGTAGTTTCAGATACATTATCCCTTGACATCAGCGTCCACAGAAGGATGAAAGTCAAATGTCCCATGGTTCTTTCTCCTGGCAGTTCACACACAGACATTACTACTGACTTCAATGTTGTTGATGTAGAACACGTAGGCATTTTTTTTTTTTTTTTTTTTTTTGAAGAGAAATAAAATTTCTCAAATACATGTTGAAGTTGGAATAAAAAAAAAAGTAAAAATGGATACATAGGGCTTGTTTTATGCGTCACAGATCAACGGTCAATATCAAACACATCGATAATTTATCTGATCACTGAATCCGACGGCAGAGAGTGATTCCATCACCAACCGGAAGCATGCAAATCTCGATTCTGGGGTCCGCAGGAAGAGCCTTGTTGAGTTCCCAAACAAAGTCTCTGTAGTACTTAACATACTTCCTTAGAGGCGCATCGGCTGGTGCAACTACAGATCCATTCCATAGGGTGTTATCGTACCCGATCACACCTCCAACCTTCACCAAATCAATCAACCTCTTGTGGTAGTTCAGATAATTATCCTTATCAGCGTCCACAAAGATGAAGTCAAATGTCCCATGGTTCTTCTCCTGCAGTTCACCACACAGAATTACTTCAATTTGTTGATGTAAAAGTAGCATTTCCAAGGTCGTGTTTGGCTATAGAAATTAATCTCAATTTATAGAAATTTTTTTGAGAAACTAAAGCATAATTTAGGTTGTACAAGAAAATGACTTAGATTAATTCTTACATCTGCAACCATTTCATCAAGAACAGGCAAAGCAGGGCCTTCTCTGAAATCAATCTTGTGAGCAACACCAGCTTTTTGGATAATAGGAAGACCCAATTCATAGTTCTCTCTGTTTACGTCCATGGCCAAGATCTGCATCAAATCAGAAAATATTTTATTAAATTTTTTATTTTGTTAATTACTAATAGGATTTGCATCTGGGTTTCTGAGATGTGATTCTGTAGTTACCTTTCCATCATCAGGAAGAGCAAGAGCAGTAGCCAAAAGAGAATAACCAGTGTAGACACCAATTTCCATGGTGTTCTTAGCATTAATAAGCTTCAAAAGCATGTTTAAGAATTGCCCTTCATCAGCAGAAGTAGTCATGATGTTCCTGTGTTCGTTCAAATCCATTTGTTAGTATTACTGTTCATTTGAAGTGAACCTACCCATTCATTTCAATTACAGATTCATTTGAAATACCAAACAATTAAATATCAAGAAGCAAACCATGGGTGTTTGGCAGTTAGCTCTCTAAGCTCCTTCATGGGTTCAGGCTCTCTTGGATAAACACTAGTTTCGAGTATGTACTGAAAGAAGAACAATAGGTAATAGGAAAAGTTAATACCCAAAGAGAAAGAAAACCATATGTTCATAACGAGGGATTCGAAGATATAAACCTGGTAAAGAGCATCGCTCTGCAAAAGGCTCTTGTGGCCAACTTCTTGGTGCCTCCCTGCTTGATTTTGCTGGTCGTTATTGGCAGCCATGGCTGGGGCTTTTTGTTCTCTGTTTTTGGTTTTCTTTCTGAACTTGGCGATGAAAATGGTAATGGATTAGGCAAGATCTGCTATGAAGATGCGAAAGAAGAAAGGTATATATTGGGAATGGAAGTCCGGTTTGAACCGGAATAGCAGGGTGGTTGGACCGCCAGCCAACAGGTCGGGGGTTGGTAAGGTCCTAGAATAATGTTGTTATATGGGGCCCACAGTGGAGCCCGCTAACGCAGGAATACAAATGGGAATTTTCAATGATTGCATTTAATAAATGTAAATGTAAGTAAGAAAATAACAATGTTATAGGTTTATGGACTCAATTGTCTATTTGTCCTTGCACGGTAGGTGAGATAACTGTGATGTCATTTTCTGATTTATGACGTCAATATTCTTCCATTCTTTATTTTCACTTTCTCCCAAAATATTTCTATATGATATTTGTGTAAATTAATTTTGAACAATTACATTAAAAAATCATTGAACAATAAAGTCAAATAGTTAATTTTTATTTAATTTTTCATTTTCAATTTGCTTCTCTAACAACAATCTTCCTTTCATGTCAATTAGACGCAAGTTAATTGATTTTTCTACTTATGTGGGTGCAGGAGGTTTCATATTTAAGATTTCCCCTCTATAAAAATTTTTACTAATTTGATGAATAAATGAGAGGGTCAATTTTGATATATAGATTGTAATATTTTTTCGACCCGTCGAGCCTCCCAATAAATAAAAAATAGTTTTGCTATCATGAGGTAGTAAACAAAAACTAAGTCTACAAAGAATAAAACATGTAATTTAAAGTTTTATTGAGTAACATTTTTTAAGAGAATGTTTAATTTTGACACAATAAAGGGATGTAATAATAACTTTTTCATGCATATATTTTGAATTTTTGTCTTAAAAGAACAGGAAAAGGTTAAAAGACCAACATTCATTATTTCTCTAAAAAGGCACAAGAAAAGAAAATGATAAATTCATTAACAGTCAACGAAAAGGTTTCTGTTCTGTAATGATCAGTTAACTTAGTTTTTACCAGAGAAAACAATGAAAACATCTTATAGTATTTTTTTAGAAGCTAAATAGAAAAATATTGAAAAATGGATTTCCAATTCTCTATTTAAAGTAAGTTATCATTAATGTACAAAAAGCTATGCATGTTGACACATGCTATACTTGAATCTTACAACTTTAAAATTTGTTGCTCAATTTTTTTTTTCTAAGAGGACAGCGGATGCTAATATGGATTGTGGCTGATGTGTAATATGAAATAGAAGGTGTAAATAGTGATATAGCTGAATATCTATTTATAAACGTTGAATTTTAAAAATCTTTCCAATGCACTACTTTCAAATCATCTTGCATCATATTTCTTATTTTCTTTTTTAGGTCTATAATTTAATAGGCAATCAAATTACTATAGAGCAATAAATACTCACATTGTCGAATATACAATCTAGAAATAGAAAATGTACTAGATAATGTGTATTTATTTTTCTAATATGTCAGTTTGACATGCCAAATAAGCATTAGCATTAAAGAACATTTAAAAAAAAAAGAATATCAAATACCAATTAAATTTTTTTTAAAAATAGTATATTACACTGTATTATATAACTATTTCTTCTATTATAATAAGTTTTATTAAATTAAAATATCTAAGGCGTCACCTACTTTAAAGAAAAAAATAATGCTCAATTTATTGGTGTGATATATATTTACTCAAAAATCAATTTTTTATATAATTCCCGCTCTAAGCTGACACTAAATAAATAAAAAGGTGCAAATTTTTGCCTAAAAAAAAACTAATTTTTTTACAAATAAATTTTATATCACGTCCAAATTTAAGGGATAAATTGAATTTTATCTCTTAAAGAAATTATGGGAAAATCCCAATCAAATTTCAAGAGATTGATAAATTACATATTTAATTTTGTCAGTTGCAATATAGTCTTACAAAGCAAATTATGCAAAATAAGGTGAGAAATTAATTTGTTTATCAATTAAGTAAATTAGTAATTAGATATTTTATATAATATATATATATATATATATATAGTGGTGGGGCCAGCAATTCGCAGTTGGAGATGGGTGCATGAGTGGGTAGAGTAGCAGAGAGCTGTTATGTGGCATTTAGAAAGGGACAATTTGGGCAGCGCATGCCGGAAGAGAGTGGGTGAGGGGCAATGCTTTGCATCTAATCTCTCTTTTTTCATTTTCTGTTCACCTTTTGATTAAAAAATATTTATAAAATATATACATGTGTTAGGTGGTTAATTTTAGTTTTATTTTATAGGGCATGCATTAAGATATTTTGTAGCACTGAGGCCCCAAAAAAAAATATTGGCTTAAGGGCAAATTACTTTTCACCTATTTTATCTTAATGTTATGTAAATATTGATGGATATTTTATTTTATACATATATTAATATTATTTCATTCATAAAACATTATCAAATTTCATTTTTGATAACTTACACTATTATTATATAATCCAAATAGTAATAGTATGTAAAAAAAAAATTATGGAATTATTTAAATTGCTATGAAGTTATGCTCAATATTTTTTAGAAAAAAAATTATTATTTCCTTGTTTCTTGATAGTTACACATGGTATCTAGGTCTGTGTTCGTTTAACGGTCCATAAATTTAACTAATCTTTACTCGCCTTCGGAAATAAGGGGGCTGACTTGAGTGAAGTTTGCATCGCGGAGAATTGAACTCATGACTTAAAACTATAAGTAATTAACCCTAAAAGAGCTCTTTGAACTAACCCATTTAAGTTTATTATTTTATTGTTTAATTACACTAATTTGATAATACATATTTTAAATATTTAAGTTGTATAATAATTTTTTTTCTCAAAAAGATTTGTATAAAAACTAATTACATTTAAAATTGATCATTAGAATTTTGTAAATAACATAATAAATTTTTTTTGCCGAGTCTATTATTTTTATTCATATAATTATTTTTTACTGCTTTTATTTTGCAAATAATAAACAATAATTTTTATTCATATAATTATTTTTTACTACTTTTATTTTGCACCGAAACCCTTAATTGATTTGGTGGGTTTAGTGCAACATTCTTTTTCTATATCATGATAAATATTAAATTGATAAATAATTTTCATTGAATTTTAGATTTGTAAATAATTTTTTTGAAAAACATTATTTTTATCAAAATCACGTGTTAGAATTTAAGACTCGCGGTGACAAATCTCTAAAATAATAATAGAAAAACATTGATATATCAATTTTAATTTGTTTTTGCAATATATCAATGTTTTTAAATTAATTATTTTTTTTTCAAAAATATTTTAAATTAATTTTAATATAATTAATTATTTACGGTCAGATTAGCTTTTTCACTAACTTATTGAATTTAGAATAAAATTATCCCTTGCTGCAAAGCTAATCAAATAATTTCAGTGTATTTGGCCTGAGAATAAATTAAAATAAAACAAAAATCAATTTTTTTTATTTACCATAACATTTTTTAAAAGTGATCCTTGTAATATATCTGATTGAGCCTATAAATAATTAAATATCATCCGTTTCTCCTACCTTTGCGGATCTGCCTTCTGTTTTTCACGTGCCTTTTGGCAACAGACCTATTGGACCTCAAACAAAGAAATAATTTTAACGCTTGGAATCTTCAAAGCTAGTTTTTTTTTTTACTCTGAAATTTCACTCGCCTCGAATATGTCCACTTTGAATACCACTGTACAGGAAAGACTCTTCCAACGTGACAATTTTTAAATGTAGTTTTATTTAATCACATATAACATACCTAGTTATAGAAGGAGAGTTTAGTATTTGTTGATATATTTTAAGTATAGATAAAAGTGGAGCAAGAATTTTGAATTACTCAGACTCAGACCAATTTAAAATTTTACTGTCTATGCTCTTTTTCCAAATTGGTTTAATTGCTCGTACTCACTTCAAACTCAAAAATACTTTTTAAGTAGTAAATTTTAAATTATCTGACTACGAATCCGGTTTTAAAGTCAAAATTCAATAAATCACATCAATATTTCCACAATAACACTCAAATAGATAGAAGCACGCACGATATATATAATTCAATAGAGCAAGCAATAAATAAATAATGAATACCCAAAAACTACATCTACGGTGAAAAAGTTTTCCATCTTAATAAATATTTAAGGAAACTGTTTATCGTCAAACTGAAAAAAGAAACTAAAAGGAAATTATTATTTAGGTAAGAAACCATTATTATTTAGGTAACTGTCCTTTTCAATGGCAATGCTTATGATCTATTCGCTGATAGCTTGCAACTTACAAGAATGTTTAAGAATTATGATTTCAAAAAAATATATAAATAAATAAAAGAAATTTTCAGAATTTTCACATTTTTATCTTTTTTTGCTATCAACAACTAAAATCTAAAAATTAATTCCAACAGGAAAATTAAAATAAAGCAATGATTGGAGAAATGGTATTTTGTTTAAATAAATAAAAATTCTTGTAGAAAGTGAAGTCAATGGTTGGTGAGGAGAGAGAGCGAGTTTTGTTTTGCTTTGAGTCAAAGCTTTAGGGCTACCAACCACAACCAATAAAATCCACGTCAGCTAGTCTTTGTAGGTGGACCGGTGGTGCCCTGTCTTTCTAGCTGGTCCATGTGGAGCATTTTTAACTCGTTAACCTTGCTAGTTGATAGAGAATCCTAATATTATTATTTTTAGGTAATTTATATTTTAAATTAATTACCTTTATTATTGAATGCAGAGTTTATTTGTAAGTTTTATTAATTTTGATATAATTTTTAATTTAAATACAACTAACCCTATAGAATTAAAATTATAGAGTTTTAAATGAATTTTTATTTATATCACATAGAAAATTGTTGGATTTATAAAAGATGATCATTTAAAATAAGCTTTGTTACCACTTCAATTTCTTGTTTGGTAGAAGCATGGAGCACTTTAAATAAGGTGTATGAATCACGATTACTAATTAAATTGGTGAAAA